ATTAAGAGAAGAAAAACCTAGTCTGACATATATTTTGCAAATAAATACACTGAGCCTCATAAAGGCAGAATGATAAGTACCCAAAAAGTCACAACTAGTTTACCTTGAAAGTTTTTATGGAAGACTGCTCCATTTTCTTTTCTACATGAGCATAGCATCTCAACATCCAGTTTTGCAATAAATACAACCTTAGGAGTAACTGTGTGCATGTGCATTGGGTGTGTATGCTTGTCAAAGATAAAATCATTCTCTAGACAAGTTGAAAACATTAAAAATAATTAAAGAGGGCCGGCCAAGTGGCTCAGTTGGTTAAGAGCTCGCTCAAGAGTTTGAGCTCTGAGCAACAGCGGTTCGAGGCCAGCCCGAGCTGAGCAGCCGCTAAGCTGCCAATAGGTAGCAGGATGGCTCAGCTAAAAAAAAAAAAAAAAAAATAATAATAATAATAATAATAATAATAATTAAAGATCACTAATTTAAAATGCACTCTAATAATAGAAAAATGTTCTGCTCTAACTGTAGCTTTAAAATTATTTATTTCACATGCATTTTCATTGTTTTATCAACATGATAAAGTTAAATTTGGGGGAGATTTTATTGGAGAAAAGATAAACCAAATGGAATTGTGATTTTCAACTTTTATATTTAGAAACGCTAAAAATGTGATACTCTAAAACTTCAGATCATCCTAGTTCACTGTAGGTCCTTAAACAAAAATCACTGTAGCAGCTCAATACATTTGTTTAGAGATTCAACTCTTTTCTGCAAGTAAAATCTATGATTAGTGGTAGGTTTGGAAACTCAGAGGAAAACATACATGTTTTAATTTTCTCCCTCTTTGGAAAATGCCATTAGTTTTGTGCAAAAAGAAATGCTGGGAAAGAAATTTTCTTTCTATGATCACTAACCTAGAATATAATAACAAACAAAATCTTGAGTTCTTGGTGGTATACTTTCCCAAATTCTGGTGAACCTATCTAATGTTTTTATAACTGCAAAACAATTTTTAAAAATTCAGATGATGGTCTACCACATATTGTTCAAAATCCACTTTTTTTTTCTAATCCCAACTGGCTCAAGTAAAAAGATTTGCATATACTATAACTGTTCATCAGGAAAAAAAAACAAAACAAAAAAACATGCTGCTATCTTGAATTTCTCCACAATTTTTACCTAGTGTTGAAAAACAAAAACAAAACTGAACTGTGACTCAATATAGAGTTAGCAAAATTGCTGGAATCCCTACTCCCCTGAGTGATTTAATTCAGCTCAAGTTTATTTGAAAATGCCTCCTAAGGCATATTTTGCAGTCCCTTTCCCATTATATCCCAACCTTTGCCACTCTATTAGTATTGTACTTTCACAAAGCATGCTCTTGGCTAAATATTGCACATGGTTTTCTTTTTTCTTTGTACTTGAATCTTCTGTTTTTCTTTTAGAGATTCTGTTCAGTATTTCTGAGTCACCATCTGTAGATGCCTGGAAAATTTATTCTTGTTTTGTTTTGTTTTATTTTTATATTATTTAGTACTCCCTCTGTTGCATAGTTTCATTTTTTGAATTTTTTCCCAGATTTTTTAGTTAAGGAAAATCTGGACTCTGGTGCTTAAGTGACAGTAAAAAATTACAAATAAATTCATTAGAAAACCTTTATAAAAAGAAATTAAAGTGTGCCCATTAAAGTATAAAGAAAAATTTATTTCTAGTCAAATAGAAAATAATATGTTCTAAAACATCAGAGGAACATGATGTTTGATTTTACAACATGACACAGAAATATGTGGAAAGCCCTGAAAATGTAATATATGTTTTAAAACATATTCAGTAGTATTTCTTAATTACTATTTGATTATTTCAAGGTCTCCAGACTTGCTCTAAGCAAAACAATCTTTCTTACAAACCAAGTTATCCTCTCACACAGTTGATTTAATTTCTAATAGAGAAAGGTTGTTTCAAATATGGAAAATCCGTGGCAGTCTAGTTTAAGAAGCATTTTTGTTCCCATTGCTAATTGCAGAACCGTCTGCTTGTCCAAAAAATAAAATTCTGAGAATATTGCCTTATTACTTAAGCTTTCAATTAACTCTAGTTTCCTGCACTTTACTTCAGAGACTATAAAGAACAATATTTAATAAACATACCATTTTCCCAAGTGAAAATTTCACCAGAAAATAATGAGTCCTGTGAGTATTCATAATGAAAAGTAAAATAAAAAGCTTTATGAAGAGAAGTCACTACTATGTAAAGGTTGAGAGTCAAGCTTTAGAATAACTGCCCTAGTTTCCTTTCCTCTAAGTGGAATTAACTCTGAGACACATTCAACCTAGAGCTCCCCAGTGGGATGAAATCCAGGTGCCCGTTGCTGTAACTGGCTTTATAATAGTTTCTTGATTTGTTCCTTCTCTTTCCTAGCTCACTTCTTCACTTCCTCACCAGTGTTCTTTGTAATTGCCTCCCAAATAAAGCGTTACTCCTTGTCTCAGAATCTTCTTCTCAGGAAATGCAAAACAAGACACAGCCCCAAGTCTGCCTGGTCCATTTGACCTGTTCCCACCCGCTTCGTCCCACCTGCTTCGTCCTCACAACATCCATGCTGCTCCTAGGTTCCTCAGCGCCCTGAGTGCTATACGGATCAGCCCGAAAAGCAGCCAATTCTCCATGTTCTCCCCACAAGCAGCACTTGCCTCTCTCGTACTCATGCTTTTAAGACTCTGATCTTTGCTGAGAAACTGAACAAATAGCTTAGATCATGACACTCAGATGCCACTTGTTTTACTAGAAATAACAGTAGGAAAATCAAAATGTTTTGTGCTAAGCTTATCTTTAACAATGTGGTGCCCTAAGTCAAATAACCCTTCAGGTTCAAGTTTTCATCAATAAAATGAAAACAATAATACCTGACTAACAACTGTAATTAGTTAAAGGGTATAAAAGTATCAGAGCATTAGAAAACTTAGTAGGAATAGGACACCCTGTTTAAATAAACTTCCCATCTTAAAAGTTGTCTTTAATGATAGCATCGCTTAGTGTTTCAAAGCTCAGACCTACAAGGGTAGAGAGGAATGTAAAGATGTAAGAGCCTGATGCATTGCTGATGGAAACAAAAACGGTACCTACATTCTAGAGACAAGCAATTTAGGAGGATTTAGTCAAATTAAGTACATGCATATTTATGATTAAACAAGTCTAATGCTGAGGATATATTCCAGAGAAATTCTCACCAAGTTCCACATGGGAGCACATGTAAGGATGTACATCACAACCATTCCTGGTAAAGGGAAGCAGCCTGAGAGATAACTCCTAGGGAGGGTGGGTTGGTAAAATGTAATGCAGGCACACCATGCGGAGGTGAGGAAACAGTCCACTAGACATTTGTAGAGCAATGTGGATAGAGCTTAAAAACCATAGTGCTGGGGGAAAGAAAGAAAGAAAGAAAGAAAAGAAAGAAAAGAAAGAAAGAAAGAAAGAAAGAAAGAAAGAAAGAAAGAAAGAAAGAAAGAAAGAAAGAAAGAAAGAAAGAACTGGAATATAAACAACAATGTCATTTACATTTATTAAACATATATATATATATATATATATGTAAAGAATATATATTAAAATCATAAAAGTGTATGCCTACAGAAGGGAAAGAGAAGATAGAAATTGTTACAAAAGATCATCCAATCAATCATCTAATCAACAAGTACACAGGAGAGGGGTCTTGCCCAAACTTATAATAGCAATCTTCACTGGGGAGTGTGATCAACTCAAACTTTTATATTCGAAATCAAAAAATGAAAGAATGAATGAACAAATGATTGAATAAAAGGCTTGGTCTTGGGATTTGATTGTCTGGATTTGAATTCTGCTTCTACCACTTACTAGCTTGGATTTAACCTTTGGAGCCTATTCTTATAAACATAAAATATGAATAATAATATTATCTGCATCACAAATTCATGTGAAGCACTGGTGTGGTGTCTGGCATGTGATAAGAGCACAGCAAATACTAGAGATTATTATCAATAATCTACAGTGATGCCTCACACAATTTAGCAGGTTGATTTAGTAGTTTTTATTTGGAGGAGGAGAGAACTTCACTAAGGCTCCACTGCTCCTCACCCACTAACTGGGGAGATGATGAGAACTTTATATTTCTAAGTGCCAACTGATGACTGACAATGAAGCATTCCAAGGCGGGCGGAGAATGAAGAAGGCCAGTTACTCTTCTGTAGGCAACTCTCTCTGCTTTGCCCTGGGTGGGATGATGAGGTGATGAAGCAGTGGTCTGAGGGAGCTATGGCTCAGACACAGCTGACTTCAAGGGGAGCATGGGTTCTATTCAAGGGGTGAGTAAATCAGCCTTCACTAAGGCTCCTCTACTACCCGGAGCTCACTGTGCGAATTGCCATGGATTCTTCCTTAGTGTGCCTTGTCCTAGGCTTCCCAGTGGGGCAGAGGCTTTGCAAGCAAACCACTTACAGAAGGCTAGGACAGACTACTAGGATAATGACTGTGGAAGAAACCAAACATGGCCAACATGTGGGCATTCAGTGTGCTGGAAAGTGGGCTCCCAGAATTGTCATCACAGGGCGGGTTTGCTCTATGGTCTTTGCTGCTCCCAAGATTATGAGTACAAAATGACTCTGAAGTAGTCCTCATAAGATTCATATAGCAAGAGAGAGAGAAATGTTAGAGACATTCCAATGGCACAACACTCAGTGTCACTGGCCTGCCCCCATACATAACATGTACGGCAGCACAGAACGCCAACAGTACAGGAAAACTGTGTGTGTCATGTGAAATACTAACTTTCTGGTGTCCAGGATCTCCCCAAAGAACCCCTCGATATTAGCATCTCCTGAAAGCAGGCAGACACTCATTTTTTTTTTAAACTTGTTCTTTCTCTTCACATTAAAAAAAAAAAAAGAAGAAGAAGAAGCCAAAGGGGAATAAAACCTGATTTAGTAAGTAATGTATGCTTTAAGTAAAACTGGTGTTGAAAAACAGTCACAACCATCTTCTGTTTACCCAAGATGCTTCTTTATTTGGCTGCTAAATAGAGGGACATGTTAGTATTGCTGTCAGCTTAACAGAAGGCATTAAAGGTGCTAACAGTGGTGCAAAAAGCTGGAGGTAAATTTCTTCTATGCTAGGTGTTATTCGATTACCAAGATGTTATATGTTCGCAAGAAACTTTTTTTTTTCAGTTCCACTGCTTCACTGCTAAAGGGAACCCTCATAATAGGAAAAAAAAGAAAGAAAGAAAGAAAGAAAGCGAGAGAGAGGGAGGGAGGGAGGGAGGGAAGGAGGAAGGGAGGTAGAAAAAAGAAAATAAAAAGTGAAATCTAGCAAATTAGCAACCACATTCCAAAAACTTTAGCGCAGCCTGGGTTTTTTGCTTCTGCTCCAACTTCATTGCTGCAAAATAAGAGAAAGTTGTAGTCAGGTGATGGAGATAAGTAAATTTTTTTTAAAATACACCTGAAAATTTATTCATTAACATTTGGGTATAGCATCTCATTCAAAAAAGGGATTATAGGTAGGAAAATTTTGTTTATTTTTTCCCCCTAACTAGCTGTTTTCTTGTTACACAATTAATGGTATAATGAAGACACGCAACTTAGTTTTGAATCAGATTCTAATCTCTTGAGAGCTCAGCAGAGCTCTGGCCACCTGCAAAGCATTACCAGAGCTTTGAAGGGCCAGTGGGGCCATAGGAAACAGCACTGCCAAACCCCACCCACATCCCCTCACCTTTCCATCCCCTCGCTGCTGCCTCCACTATCTTTTAGCATTGTCTGCATCATCATTCTCTGAAATGTAAACTCTAAAACAAGGAAGTAAAGTGAACTGGGATTGAATTAAGCTCTAGCTTTTGCAAAATGGAACATTACAAAAGACAGACAGGAGATGAACCTCTTGCCTTTTTTCATATATTGATTCAATTGGCTTTATAATGTAGTTATGTAGTAAGGGAGTGATTCTAATAATTTATTTATCCATCCAATCTCTATGTGTTTCTATGGGATAGGGTTCGACGGTCTGGAGCAGATAAGATAAATGTAACTGAGTGGAGATGGGTATTAGCAGGACATAGATTTCAAGACAAAAATTATAAAAGAAAGCATCAGAGATGAGGCCAAAAGAGAAATTTAGTTCTAAAACATGACTCGGATAAAACGTGAAAGAATGACACCAATGGAAAGAAATGACCTTAACTTTATATTTCCAGGTGCCAACTCATGGCTGACAATGGAACATTCCGAAACAGATGGTGGCGAATGCAAGAGGTCAGTGGCTCTTCTGTAGGCAACTCTCCCTGCTATGCTTTCACTTGCCCTGGACAATAGCTTGAAGAAGCAGATTTCTAAGATGGCCGTGGCTTAGAGCTGGCCTCAAGAGAAACATGGGCTATGTGCAAGGAGTAAGTAAAGCAGACAGAAAACCTAAGTGTGGCATGGCAGAGTGACGAAGTAGGATGGAGAAACATGGATTCATTTTGCATCGTTTAGGAAAAATTGTATCTGTTAGAGTAGAAAGAGGAGTTAAAGAGCTGTCAAAACCAGGGGTAGCTCCATTACTGCACTGATTCATTCTGGCCATAGAAAATCAACAGTCATGATATCAGTGAATTGTACTGTTCATCATCTGGGATTCTGGGAAGCTTTAGAATGAATGGAGGAAATGACTAAATTATATCTCCTCCTTTTCTACCGAACCAATAAAATAACAATTTATTTGGATTTTCCTGAAAGTCCCAACACTTAGTAGCTAGTAGTAGAAGAGATTAAAAGAAATCATCATGATTTGGCTAACACTTATTAAGTGCTATGCATTTTATATGCTAAACTCTTTACATGCATTAATGCAGATCTTCCCCATAATCCTTTAATCTCATTTTAGAGAGAATGATATTGATGCTCAAAAAGATTAAGTATCATGCTTAAGACCACTGTATTTGAAACTAAATCCTAGCTTTCCAATGCTTTGTATTTCTTTTAGTTGTTCTTGTAATCATTAGTTTATCCTACGTATTTTTGGACATATATAGGATAAACTATATAGGTTGAACCATATATTTTGTCTGGCTTGTTACCAGAAGACTTTAAACAGAAGATAAATAAGGAAATACTTGTAGACAGGATAATATTAAATAAAATATTAGACCCTCTAGATTGCCTTTCAAATGTAAGATTTTATAATAATATGAATAGTTAAATCAGATGGAAGAGGAATGGGTAGTTGGTCCTCTGACACCATGCTGGCAAACTCAGCACTATTTCCCAGCCCTCCTGAGCACTCTGGCAGATCAAAGAAATATTTGGCACCACAGCTCAGCAGCTGGTTTGAAATGATGCATTATGCTTTGACAGGTAGAGTCGTGATTATAGACATTTTGTGAAGTTTTTAATGTTCCTTTGCCAATCTCAATATAAATAAAGAGCTAAACAACTTGAGAAAAACAAAAGATGACATTTAAGGAAGATGAAAATCATTAATAAAATCCTTTTTGTCAGATTAGCACTCTGGCGGTTAAGGCTCAGCATTTTATCATATTATCAGCTGAACAACATACTTATTTAGGATACAAGAAAACATACAAAAAGAAAAGAAAAAGCCTGTGACATTTAGAAAATCATCATTTTGAAGAGAGTCAAATTCCAAAACTATTTTTATTTAGAGTTTACTTTGGGTAATAAGTGATATAATGCTGTAAAACTTTAAGCCAATGTCATGGATAGCATTTTTATTAAAGAATCTGCTGTGTGCACTGATTTTTCATTCCCTTTCAAAACAAAACCATCCATACATACTCTTCTCTGCCAAATGAAAGCAAAATGATCTACATGTGTTCTTGTAAATATGAAACCAGATGTCAAGTAGGCAGAACTAAAAGTAATTTCCAGAAAATATATATTGTAATATTATAAATTGTTGCATATTAATTTTTTTTCCTGGAAGATTTTAAATGTATTTTGGACATTTACATAACCACTAACTTTGGTGTCAAAACACAAGATCTAGTATCAGAATTAATTATCCATAAGCCAGAAGCTATAAGTATAAAGTTCAGTAATTAAGGTCCTACAAAGATAGCCTGACAGAGAATACAGGTGTAATGAACTCTAAAGAGCACAACATTGAATCTGGGGTCAAAAACATTTAATAACTGGATGACCTGAGCTCCAGATAGTTATTAACCTGGATCTTATTTGTTTATCTTGAAAAACCAGCACACAGAAGAATGGAAGTTCTTCTAGTTCCTGACTTCTGCTCAGCTTTACCGTGACTCACTACAATACAAAAGCCAACATTAATCTACCGAGATGACTTAGAAGGAGAGACACCCAAATTGGCAGCCCCTCACATCTCCTATATTAGATTCAACTGAGTCCCTAGAAAAGAAACATAAGTGACACTTCTTTTTATTGGCTACTTCAGAGTAAGACTCTCTCAGATTTCAGTTATGCCCTTGTCAACCAAGTATAGGGACAAACAGAAATTAAAAATAAGAGGCTTAATTCTCCTGTTGAAAATAAGGGAAGATTTTTTCAATCCTCCTTTCTTAGGACATTTACTTTAGAAAACTTATCACTATAAGGATATCTCTGTTCTTTGAAAGTGTATATAAAGTCCTTCTGAAAACTTGATGGGTGCTTTGTCAGCTTTAAGACCCAGGAAAGTCTTTCTCAAGAACTTGAGCACTAAGTAAACATCCAAGTGAGATAGCACCCCTCTCTCCTTGTTTCTGAGGGAGGGTAAGAAGCCTAACTTTAATTAATTCCCGACTCCTGGTTGTAAAACTACCTCCTGTCATAAAGATATGAGAAGTTCATGTTTCCTTTGTGTAAAGCCAATTAACTGACACAGGTGGTCACTTCCATCAACTAAACCAGGTGATTTAGAATAAACTACCGTATTTGCCGGCGTATAAGATGACTGAGCGTATAAGACGACCCCCTAACATTTCCACTCAAAATACAGAGTTTGTTATATACTCGCTGTATAAGACTACCCCCTCTTCCGCACACATTCCACACACCAAATAAAAGGTAAAACAATATCAGATTTGATTTCAACATTTATATTTATATTCAAATGCTTATGACATGCAGGAAAACTGTCACAAGGCTGTATGTAATCAAACATAT